ACTCTCCGCGTCAAACCTAGAGTCAAACAACCTACGGTGGACTGGTCCTCCCTGGCTCAAGAAGCCGTCACCCGAATGTCCACAGGCCCATTCCGAACGAGACGACCTAGACGAAATGGAGCACAATGACATCAAAACCAATATACTGCAAATAACAACTACCCTAGACAATCCTGTACTTGACTTGCAACGCCACAGCGACCTTTCAAGGGTCCTATGCGTCACTGCTTGAATTTACCGTTTCAAAGAAAACACTGGCCTACTGAAGGAATCGTCTAACTACCTTTCCATGGCAGAACTCAAAAGGGCGGAACAATACTGGACAAAGGTCACACAAAAAAAAATGAATTCTCGGAAGAACCTCAAAGCATACGAAAAGGAAGGCCGCTGAACAAGTCATCGAAACTAAAAGATTCGACACCTTTCACAGATGACATTGGAGTTTTACGCGTGGTCGGCTCCAACAACTAAACGCGTCAGAAGACCTTAAACACCCGCTCTCATACTCCCCAACGCACATCGCTTCACCGAGTTGCTTATATGCAGCGCACATCAGCGTGTGCTTCGCGGAGGAGTAGCAGAGACTTTAATTGAATTGCGCGAACATTATTGTATTGTACGCGGAAGACAAGCCGTAAAGAAGTCTCTGCGAAACTGCACCAGGTGTGCAAGGACACACTTGAAGGCCGCATCAGCCCCCATGGCACCGCTGCCAAAAGAACGGAAAGAGGCGACGCACCCATTCAACGTCGTTTAGATTGATTTCGCTGGCCCACTTTACACAAAGGAACAAAAGAATGAGAAGTAATTTATATCGCCATTTTCACATGCGCAGTCACACCAGTAGTTCACCTCGAGCTCACAATGAGCACATCTCCACAATCCTTCTTGATGGCTCTACGTCGGTTTGTTTCCAGAAGAAGACTGCCAGACGTACTTTATTCGGACAACGCTTTGGCATTATAGACACTTTCAAGAGACATATCAGCTGTTTGGTACTACTCCGACATCAGGATGTACAAGCTTAGACTATGTCGTCCACCATCACATCACATAGAAATTCAGCGCCGAAAGAGCCGGATGGTGGGGAGGTTTCTGGGAGAGAATGATACGGACAGTGAAGACCTTCCTCAGGAAGTTTCTAGGACGAAGCTATGTTAATTTTGAAGAGTTGTCGACAGTATTACAGGAACTAGAAGCCGCCATGAACTCGCGTCCTTTAACATTTCTTTACTCAGATCAACTTGAACCAAGAATTCTAACACCTGCACATTTTCTGTTAAGAAAACGCCTTCTGTCGTTAACGACAATGAAGCAAATGAGCTCCACCCCGCAGACATCACGTGAACTAAGACGGCGACGGAGCTACTGAGAACTAATTTCGCAGCAGTTTTGGAAGAGGTGGATGAAGGAGCATCTCTTGCAACTTCGCTGTGCCCACCACACTCCGCCAAAGAACACAACGCCTATTGCTAACGGGGACGTGGTGAATATTCACGATGCGAGACGACCAAGAGCAACGTGGAAGGTGGGACGGATAACAGAAGTTCACCTTGGACTAGACCATATCACTGGCTCGTGTGAAGTGTGACTGGCGGACGGACGAACTTTTAGGAGGGAGACCAGTCCGACTTCTTCACCCCCTAAAGGTCTGCAACAAGTCGGCTGTGGGACCCTGTTAAACATAACAGCATCTCGCGACGGGAAGAGAGGACCAACGAAGAAAAGGAGTATTTAGTGCCATCCAGAGCCCGGTCATGCAGCACATTTGTTTTTCTTTTCTCTGGACTGATCGTGCAACCGCTATGACGAGCTGGTCCTATTAAATCGCTTGTACTATCAGAGGCTGTTGGAGGAAGTTTTTACAGTTGCAATTCCTGAATCTGGGTATTTTACCAAGCAGCAGCGGTGCTCTTGCGTCTTGTTAAAAGAAGGCATGTAAGCCTGGGCTAGCTTTCAATTTTTCAAAATAAAAGCGCTAAGAAGGCGACGGTCAAGTTAAAGGACTACGAACACCACATAGCTTGCTGTAGTGTTCGTCGTCCTTTAACATGCTAGTCGCCATTTTCGCACTTTTATTTTATAAAATGAATCACCAACTAGCCCAAGTACATACCTTTATACAGCTACCTTTCAATAGTGCACACTCCAAGTGCGTAAAAGCAGAATAGTCAGTAGTTTAATTACAGGTACAATTTAAACCCAAACTCCACCATCCTCTACGACCAGGTTGACCGTCTTCTTAGGGTACAAGAAATTAATTTTTTTATCGATTTGACAATTAATAGACTTGCTACAAACATCGTGTTTAAATAGAGGTGTCTCTACTTTCGCTCAGTATGTATCCCATTCATTCAAAATACTTTTCTTCGCATCGCTCAAGATCAGCCGCACACACTTTGACACCAACGTTGTTTTCTCCAACATGTTCCAAATTATCTCCATACGCGAGGTGGTCAACAATCTATGTCCAACCCCAATCTGAAAAAAAAAAAAAAAAATGTTATGTGTTATCTTGAGGAGTGCGAACTTTTATACTATTGTCCTACGGCGCCAAGTACATATGAAAAACAGTGCGCTGACTTGAATGCCGGCTCCGAGTGAGAACATACAAATGAGTTAGCACCTTCAACAATGTGGAACCAAGTCATTAAATTATTTTGAAGCACGCTTCTGAACATAAATATTGCCGCACTATTGTTCGCTCAACGACCAAATTGTACGAACGCTCGTCAAAACAAAGACATGAGACGTTTGCCACACACTGCTACACGGGAAACATAAGGTGTACTTTGAGACCGGAGCCACTCGCCGCTGTGTCCTCAGCCGTCACGAGATCAGGTCAACTTTTAGGATACGCCCCTCGCACTGGTCTCCCCAACTTTGTCACTCTTCTAAATAATTTTTCATTTGTCCTTGAAATACTTGCTTCGAAGTAATATCAATGTTGACAATTGACAGTCATGTCTGCCCGTCGTGTTTTCTTGCTAAATGTACATCGTATACTAAACAGCTCGTCTTGACTTTGACTCAGAAAATGTTTGCACCCAAAACTAATCCATAATATATAATCTAAAAACAAAACGATAAATACGAGTATGTTTTTATATCGGCCATAATTTATTTTACAAAAGCAAAATCATGCTTGAAAATGCTGAACTAAATGGGCGAAACGGGCGAATTGGTTCAAAGCCTTAAAAAAAAAAAAAAAAAAAAAAAGACAAGGACAAAAAAGGAAGGCTAACAGGACAAGCTCTTTCTCGGAAATGCTCCCGAACAATTTTCTCTCTTTCCTGCAATATTAATAGTCTTCCCTTATAGTCAAGTGTATAAATGCTTGTGTATTTGTACTTATTTTTTGTGTTTATATCTACATGAATGAGCAGATTGTGTTTTACAGCAAAGGTGTGTATGGCTAGGGTTCCGTGGATGTTTTATGTGCGTCAACAAAACCGCTACCATAGCCTCCTCTTTACTAACAAAGCCTGGCAGATCACCACGAGACGCGGCCGCCGAAATGGAAAAGGCGGCGCGGCAGACAACGGATGAGAGGAGAGCCAGGTGACTGGCGCCACGCTGCGACGAGACGCCGAAACGCAGCGTCTTGTCGCTGCTGAGAGACGCTGCGAGGCGAGACGGGAGGACCAGAATGTGTGTTTCGGGTTCTCGCCGCTGCAAAAGTTGTGCAGTGACCTCCAGGTTCCCCGAGAATTGGCTCTTTGATGCTCTGTGCTACCAGATCCTCGCTCTCCAAATCTGCGACCGGGCACTCCTTGGCTCCGGCGTCGAACTGCCTTGCTTTGTGAGTATTACTGACGTGCGCGATCAAAATCGTCGCGGTGGTCGGCCTTCCTCGACTGGCCGAATGCTGACCATGACGTCAGCAAAGGAGTTCTCATGGACAGAATTAAGAGGAACGCGAGGACTTCAATTATGACGGTGTTGACAAAGTTGGTTCAAGAACGATATGATTTCAAGCTTCCGTCATGCTAATTGCAAACACCATCGAATTTGTTGTTCGCAAGGTATTGACGTCCCGAAAGGTAACCATACGAGGGCGCCACCGAAACATCTCGCCGCTAACAGATGAGGCTATGACTCTACGCTCGCAACGCCGAACGCGCCGCACGCGCACGCCTTCCCTGTATAACATATTCGAAGTCAATAACCAAAATATTGCGTTGACGAAAGCGCGTGCAAGATACCATTTGTTTTAGGCTTTTGCTTTCGAACAGTTACTGCTGCAGACGCCGTCACGGTCTGCGCATGGAACGCCATTCCCTGCATTCTCCTTGAGGCTTGGGTAATTAAGCTACAGCTCTATTCAGCAATTCAGTAGATTAGTTATGAACAGGCACAATTTTCAAGATCTCTAGACTTTCAGGTAGATAATAAAGGTTTCTCAAAGGTTTGCCACTGTGCGACCCGCGTCGGCCATGTCTACGCTCGCACCGCCCTCCCATTGTCGTCGTTCCAAGCGTTTGCGTGCCTAGTTTCCTTTGCTTCCTCCCTCCCGGGGTAGCGGTCCCGTCGCGCGTGTCTACTTTCCGTCGGGTGGCGTTTCTGTGGCGCGTGTCTAGTCTCCTCCGGCTCTTCGAGGTGGCGATAGTCGTCCACGCGAAATAATGACCACCGATCAAGACAACAATAAATATGTGTGCGCACCTTTCGTCACGATGACCACCGATCAAGACAATAAAAATGTTTGTACCTTTGTTCAATATTCTGTGTCACATCTGTGTCCTGTACTAAACAGCTTCTCTGGTAATCCGCCTTCACAGAGTGGAATGGCTCACGATTTTTTTATCAAATAAATATCTACTGTTACCACTCTCCTGCGAGAATTCTTTTTGTGTACTGTAGAATAAAGGGAACACAAAATATGAATATTATATTTTCTATTTGCTTTATAACTTAAAATATCTATCGCGTAATGACTCTACATTATATAAAAGATCAACGAGGTTCTCAGGTGTACTAACTTGGTTATATTTCTTTAGATGCTCCAAATGGAAAACGATACCAGCTCATTTACTCTGACTTTAAGTGTTGCGACATATTAAGAGTCTTGGACGAAGATAATGGTAAGTGAGAACGGTGCATTCTACCTAGGATGCATACTTTTCCTTTATAACCGAAAAAAAAAAGAAAGATAAACATCGGGCGGTTTCGAAAATAAAAATGAGTTAAAACCGAAACTTACAAGTGTTTGTATATTTTCGTACAAGCAGCATTTCTTTTTTCACCGAAAAAGTTAGATGTAGACATTCGTCAGGCTCATACGAAGGCAAGTGGATCAGGACTGTTTCGCGCAGCATCTCTGATGACCTGCAGTTTATAGATGACTTGTTCTGGTTTAGCGTGCAGATCGTTAATCCTTGCGTCGAGCTGAAGCTGCCAGAGGGATTTGTTTCATATGAAAGCCTATACAACCTTATTGTGCATGAAGAATGGAAGATCAGCGATCTTAAAGCTGAGGCCGTATGCATGCATATGCTACAACAATAAAGTGTGAAGAACATTGTGTATCAGATGTAAAGAAAAAAAGTCAACCATTTCTTTGCGCGATTTTTTCCATCGAAAAAAGCCCCTTTAAGCGCCTGCACAAGAAAATTCATCGAAATGCACCGGTATTTTGAAAATAAACAAACACCGAAAAATATCCCCCGAATTTGACATAAAAAATGAAAGCCGCTTACAACTCCCTGTAACGCCGAATTAGAGCGCAGCTCTTGAGGAGGAGGGAAGGGCACTGGGGGGGGGGGGTTAAACTAACCAGGGGGGGGTCACGTTACCTTGGGGGTCACGTGACCCCCAATGCCGATGATGTCATCACTGACGTCACTGATGACGTCATCAGTGACGATGACGATGCGGGTACCGATGACGTCATTAGTGACGTCACTGATGACTTCACCAGTGATGATGACGATGACGATGCGAATGTCGGTGACGTCATCAGTGACGTCGCTGATGACGTCATCAGTGATGATGACGATGACGATGCGGATGCCGGTGACGACATCAGTGACGTCACTGATGACGTCATCAGTGATGATGACGATGACAATGCGGATGTCGGTGACGTCATCAGTGATGATGACGATGACGATGTGGATGCCGGTGACGTCATCAGTGATGATGACGATGACGATGTGGATGCCGGTGACGTCATCAGTGATGATGACGATGTGGATGCCGGTGACGTCATCAGTGATGATGACGATGACGATGCGGATGCCGGTGACGTCATCAGTGATGATGACGATGACGATGTGGATGCCGGTGACGTCATCAGTGATGATGACGATGACGATGTGGATGCCGGTGACGTCATCAGTGATGATGACGATGACGATGCGGATGCCGGTGACGTCATCAGTGATGACGATGACGATGTGGATGCCGGTGACGTCATCAGTGATGATGACGATGACGATGTGGATGCCGGTGACGTCATCAGTGATGATGACGATGACGATGTGGATGCCGGTGACGTCATCAGTGACGATGACGTCATCGGGGGGTCACGCGACATCGGCGGGGGTCACGTGACCTCGAGGAGGGGGCCACGTGACCTCAGGGGAGTCACGTGACTTCGGGGGGTCACGTGACCCCCCACGAGGTCACGTGACCTTGGTGGGGGGCTCGCGCGGTGCATTATGGGACATTTCCCATGATGCACCGCGCGGTTACGCCGACGGCGACGGCGACGGCGACGGCGACGCCGACGCCGACGGCGACGCCGCTCAAGCCGGAAACGGGCCCCTAAGAGCTGCGCTCTAATAAACACCGGAAAGTATACGGCCTAATTATACCTCATTCTCTAAAATTCTGCACATCAAAGTGAAAAAAAAAAGAACATGAACCCATGCAAATTTAAAAATACTGCAAACTCATGGAATGTATAATATATTTCACGAGGTAAATAACTGAAGCGGTGGTTTCGACTTCTATAGTTTATTATTTCCTTTTGAGGCAACTTCGACCATTGCAATTTCGGGCCTTAAAACTTTAGGTAATGTAATCACGAAAGTAGCTCGCCATTTAGATTGAGGAGTTCATCTTTTCCGAGCTACCCAGTGGCGTACCAACTTGTTTGTGAGTGGGGTGGGGGAACAAACAAGACCCCCCCCCCCCCCCCCCCCCAGGGCCGGGGGCCGGTGCCCATTGTATTCCTTGGGCCTCGCCGGCCAGTGTTTGCCCAGCCCAGTGGAGGATGTTTCGGGGGGGGGGGGGGGGGGGGGAGGGGGGGCAAAACACATGCCTTGTCCTCCACTCTGAGAACTGGGGTGGGCAGGTGTCTCCCCTGTTCCCCTTGCCCCCCCCGGTTGGTACGCCCAAGGAGGTACCTTTTTATCATCCCGATGCGCATTGCGCCTACGCACATATTCGACAAGTCTCATCTGTTTATTCTACAGAGTAGTCAAGTGAGCTTCGGTTGCCCTTTAATATTTGCTTGTTTAAGCAGCTCATCTCTAAACAAAACAATTCTTTGGACATGTTGACCAAGTGTTACAATATCTAGATGCTTTAAAATGTTCTGGCTTTTTAAATTTTTAATGCGGTTGAGTCTTCAAGTTTCTTAACAACCTATTCAGGTAACATTAAAGATTTTAGTAACGCTAAATCACAACTGTACTAACCGGAAATCGCGGTGTACGCAGAGTTTGGCTGGTCTATCACTTGGCGTCGCTTCTTTTTTTCGTCATTGAGAGTCCTGTTCCCAAAAGCAGCAAATTCTTCTTAAGATTTTGTGTTTTCATGACTTTTTTTAAATGTACCCACATAGTTTCGCTCTCTGAGACACCTGTTATGAATATATACTTTTGCGCTGATTGATAGACATGATTATTTTTAGTTGAATTCGACCAAACTTTTTCAGGGCATGTTAGGTCCTCAATTTCGTTCGAAATAAACATGTATCATCGCTCAAGTCATAGAGAACGAAACTGCGACTTAGGGAAGCTATAACTCACAAGTTTTATAGAAAGAAATTCTAAAGTGTCACGTGGTGGAATGCGTAAAAAGAAAATATTTGATTTATTTTGCCAAATTTCACGGGTTAAATGCCCCTAAAGACTGCTAATTTTTTTTTCAACTTGAAAATTTGAAGACGATTGTTTGTTTTTTTAAGCAAGAAGATTTTTTTTATGGGTATTGTTTAATAGAATCGATAACTTGCTGTTTTTGCCTTAGTTTTAAATTGTCGCAAGAACTCATCCAATATATAAAATAATCACCAGTGTGAATCCTCAATCTTAAGCTATCTGTAAATATTTCGACATATCGCTCGTCTAAGTTTGTTAGTGAATTAATTATGTCTTGCTCCAAATTTGTTAAAAATCTAAAAGTGTAAGATATTCGAGGTAATTTTTTACGCGACTTTTTACTTAGTTTTTGGTGTCTGTGTCGGTTGCGTAAGAATTTACAGAATACAAATATTGTAAGATGTTTCTTTGTTGTAGTTTTGAGATAACTAGTTGCATAGGCTTCTATTCTTTTGCTTCAAACATGAAACAACCTGAAGTTTCAAGTTATATTACGTGGATTTTTTTTTAATCCAACGTGTATGTATTTCTACTTTGGGGAATTTCCTATCAGATATATTATCACTGCACGTAAAAATTCGTTGTCATGGTTTTGTTTTGTTCTTGGAGAAACCAACTAAATAAGCCCCCTTTTACTTGACCCGCATCTTCGGTTCCGGAATACTGGCTTGAACGCAACGTTCTTGGCGGGCTCAAGAATATTAGATGTTGCAAAAAACTACTTTGGCGTGATGTATTTTCTACTATATCTTTCTCAAAATATCAGGTTTAAAAACAAAACCTCATCCCTAGCTAAAATGAAGCAATTCGCCTAAATTACGTCACATCTAATCACTGACTATGCACCGAGAAACTGAGGGAGGGGAGGTTACGAGAGCGGCGCGGGGACGTCAGAACATCGAACTCTCATTGGAATGATTAATGGGTAGACGTAAAGCTAGCTGCCTTTTTCTACACTGCACTCGCCGAAAGCAATAAAAAGCGGAACACTGGATTCCGGCGATTGGCTTTCGTATTTGAACGCGTTCGACGACTGCGGTGGAGAAAAATGTACCCTTTGTTTCTATTGCACTCGTCAAACGCGGAACCCCGACGTCCGGCTTTTGGCTCTCGTATTTGAATGCGTTCGACAAGAGCAGTTGAGATAAAGGCAGCTAGCTTTAGGTTTACCCACAGGTATTCAAACCAGATATCGGCTTTATGACTTATCTGCGCTCTCGTCTCCTCCTCTCCGTCGGTTTCTCGACGCATAGCTAGCCAGCCTACACGCTTCTAACTCTGGCAGGAGAGTATCTGGCTTATTAAGGTAATCGTTAAAGTGTCAGGTTACAACGATTAAAGCATACAATGGAGCCTACACGAGTGAATCAGTCACCAATACAGCAGGTTAGCAAGTGTGTCATGACCGCGCAGCATTAGAGCACGTCCGATGGAGCATTGAGTGTAAACTTGGTTGAACAAGCACGATAACGAGGGGTGTGCGAATGTTCTGGTTTACAAATTGAATCAAATAAGGATTACCCAAATAATCCGATTTCACATCCTATTTCCTTTTATTCGAGCGTTCTAGTCATTTTTTCCATCGGATATAAGTACTGATGGTCACATTATGGTTTATCTACTGACGCTGTTTTTATAGCAAAATGGACCTCACAGGCCTGTGTTGGATCTAACTCAATCATGCACTCGAAATTCTCGAATAACGAACCACTTTGACACGCATTATATTTCGTGGGTTCCACGAACGAAGAAGTCATGTTCCCTGCTTCCTGGATGCCCTCGACTCAAACCCGTGAACCAAGCACGTAGCTATTTTGATTCGAAGTATGTTTGAACACGCATCTCTGTGTATTATAAATTGATTGCTTGTTCTTACGCTCACACGACAAAATGTGAACATAATATAAACATGAGTGGCCTCTTTTTTTACTTCAAGTCACCCTATTGAAAATTCCATCAAGATACGTAATTTGGTATACTGACTGCCAGTCAGCAGCCTTGGTGGAACGTGATGGACCATCAGACGTCATCTG